TCCTCTCTGTCAACGCTCTCTGGTTTCATCTAAGAGTCGAGCGCCAGATATTGTCCAAGATTACACTTCAGGGTGGATATAGCTCGCTAGCAGCCTTGCACCGAGGACCTATCCACGTCATCATTTACCCAGAATGCTTTGTGTGTAAATAAAATGGCCCTGTCCGTGTAATATATTTTTAAACTCTTAGTTCAAAAATGATAAAAATTGAACAMCCTACAGTATTTTTACAGTCTTYATTTATATGTTTATTAAATAAAGTCTAATGTTACAACTAATCGTGGATCCCTTCAACAAAAATGACAGTGTTAACACGGAACTTCCTGTTTGTTAAAATGAGCCCAACCGAAATGTTCTTCAGTCCTGTTGCGTGTTTGTGTCCTCACAGTGAAAAAGATGTACAGACAGCCAAGCTTCAGTGATTGAAGGGGTTTTTCCAGTAAGCAGTTGCATTTTGGTCCTGCTCGGAGTGGCTTTGCTGCCTGGGGATGCCTCTTGGTACCCACAGTGACACACTGTGATGTGGGATTGTGGGTAGCCATAATTATATGTTCTTTGCCACACTAAGGACGCATGGAATAAGCCTCATCAAACCACAAACACATATAATACAGATTCCCTTGAGAGTTGACCTCATATTTTCACACACTGGTTCCCATGTTTGTAAGCGGGCACAGCCTCCTTTATCCTGAAAGAAAAGAAGAATCAGCTGAGAGCAATAACCATTCAGGGTTATACYGCATGTCATTAAGAGTTTGTTGGGACAGTCTGTCCTGCTCTCTTCAGATTTTTGCTTTCTTAGAGGGAGAAAGGCACACAAACCGATGCTCTCTTAGCTTGACCATGAATAATGCATGAAATGATACACAATCTGCTGAGCCTCGTCTATCATTTAAAGCACATCAATAATAGAATTCTGACCCCTCGCTTCTTTTTAATATGCAATTGCTGTTTATTTAATTCTGTCTTTATAAAAGTTTGGTTTTGTCTTCATTTTTTATCACAGAAAACAGACATTTCCCCCCAAGCAGAGGAATTACTTCRATATTTTGCTGTTTGTTTAGCCAGTGAGGTTTGACAACTTAGAAGACAGTTGCTGATGTGCATCTGGAGGCTGATTAAGAATATTGATGCATTTAGTGGTTTTAATAGAAATAAGAAGTCACCAGCCATCAGAGGAAAAAATAGCCTGGCTGCTTGTATTATTTTGGTGATAAGTTTTGAATGAGGTCACTTTTGGTGTGATTTGTGTACACAATCTTCCTAGTACTCCCAGCATCAATTATTTTCTGCCGTTCCTTTCTCATTGTTTGAATTTATCTTTATTATTTACATCAAACTCTTTTCCTCTCTTGCTTCCAAACCTCGACTGTTCTGTCCCACTCTGTTCTGTCCTTCGATGGGGACAAATGCCCGCATGCTTCRCATTTTGTGTTTGACATAGCACCAGTGCTGAACCACAGACCTGTGGATTTTTGCTGATTTGTGTATTTTCTAGTGTGTACTATCTGGAATGTTCCCTCCAAGAATATTGTTTCAAAATGGGATGTTGTATAGGGGATGACATCTTTTCTGTTGTCCTATGGGCAGATAGTTGGACTCCAGTGTTTAGTTACTGGACAGGATGGGCACCACCTCAGTCTCTTCAGGCAGTTAGGTCAATCTGTAATTGAAACAAAAACATTTAGCGTATTTATTCAAGTATAATACGTAAAATTAAACCCATAAAATCATCCATAAAGTTGGGGGGTAGTACTATAC